TTTCTTTCTTTCTTTCTTTCTTTCTTTCTTTCTTTCTTTCTTTCTTTGTGATACAAGGTTTCTCTGTAGTCCTGGCTGTCCTAAAACTCACAGAGATCCACCTGCCTCAGTCTCCTGAGTGCTGGGAGAGTAAATCCATTTTAACAAGATAATAGGGATGGAGAGTTGGCTCAGTGGTTAAGGGTACTTGGTTTTTTGGAGCAGTGTGAAACAGCAGTGAGAGGGACCACTGAAGGGGATGCTAAAGGAGATAAAGCCAAGGTGAAGGACGAGCCACAGACAAGATCTGCAAGGTTATCTGCCAAACCTGCTCTTCCAAAGCCAGAGCCCAAGCCTAAAAAGACCCCTGCAAAGAAGGGTGAGAAGGTACCCAAGGGGAAGAAAGAGAAAACTAATGCCAGTAAGAATGCAAATAATCCTGCAGAAAATGGAGATGCTGAAACAGACCAGGCACAGAAAGCTGAAGGTGCTGGAGATGCCAAGTGACGTGTGTGCATTTTTGACAACTGTGTGCGTCTCGTGACTGTAGAGTTTGAAATATTTTTTATCAAGTTTTATAAAAATGCAGACTTTTGTTTTACTTTTTTTAAAGCTATGATGTTAGCATACAGAACACTTCATTGTTTGGGGGAAAGAACACGTGTCACTATCAAAACGTCTCCCAAGCTGGACTGATGATGGAAAACGTTTTTACCCTGATAATTTTGAAAGATCCTGTTGGCTCCCAGAAGGAACATCGCAGTGTTGACATATGTGGTCACCATGACACAAAATGCCTTGTGGGATGGGAAAACTCTAAATTCATTTTTGTATCCTCCTCCCCCTGTACCATCAACATTGACTTAACTCCCTTAAAACCAGAGACCTGTTGGAACCTGACCCCCCAAATTGGTTTTTCAGTCTATTGGGTGATCTGGACTTTGCAGTGACATCACTGAGTGTCCTCAGAAGAGTGATGGTTCCTTTTATAAAAAATTGTGGATCTTCAGATTGATAATAATGCCATTTTCATTTTCTTTCCTGAAAGTCAGGGTAGGCTTGTGAAAAGTTGTTAAACAACATCCTTAATGTGAAAATGTCAACCCTCACGCCAAGCTACTTCCCCCTTTTCAAAGCATTGAATGAAGATTTCATTGGATTTTATAGTGGCTTTCTGATTTTGGTAGTCTGTACAGGAAGGGAGTTTGGAAATTCTTGTATACTGTTAATGACTGTCTGCCCATGTCCTGCCTGAAATACCATGATTGTTTTTGGAAAGTATCTTTAATAAAGCTGGATACATTAGGCTTGGGGAAAAAAATAAGAGAGTACTTGTTTTATTTGCAAAGGACCCACAGTTCAGTACTCAGTACCAACATGGAGGCTCACCACTTCCTCAAGTACTGGACACATAAATGGTGCATGAATGTATGTGCAGACAAAACACTCACTCACACATACAAAATAAAACAAATCTTTAAAAAATCAAGATGACATTTAGCTATGCTATACACAAAAAGTGTATTTCTTTCCTAGATTTCACAATACCAGAATCCCTGATAGGAGTAAGGATGGAAGAGCACGAGAGACGGTTGAGTGGTTAGAAGTCATTCAGCTTGGCAATTGGGATTATCAAGCTCCACCTCCAGAGCCTTACCGTTCTGGAAGTTGAAGGGCATAGTGCTTCTGCTTCGTTCAGGACCTTACTATACAGAGCATCATGGAGAATGCACAGAAAAGGGAGAGAAAACATGGTAAAGGTGAAATGCAGAGTCTGCTGTGCAAAGAGTACTGGCTGTACCAGTCCCTCCTACTGTCATGCCCCAATGGTCTAAAGACTTCCCATTAGGCCTCACTTCTTTTTTTAAGAAAATCATTTAAAAATTTTATACTTTCTGTATATGTGTGTGCATACATGTTCACACCATGTACATGTATGAAGGCCAGAAGACAACTTTTGGGAGTCAGTTTTCTCTTTCCACCATGTGTACATCAGAAATCAAACTTCCTCAGGCTTGGTGGCAAGTATCTTTCTCTCTCTCCTTCTTTCTGTCTCTGTCTCTATGTGTGTGTGTGTGTGTGTGTGTTCATGTGTATGCAGGTACACATGCATACGTGTACAGGTCAGAGAATAACCTTGGATGCCATCCATACTCAGGAATGTACTCAGGAATGCTATCTAATTCCTTTGATGCAGGTCTCTCACCCTCCTTGGTTTACAATGAGGCTAGGCTGGCTGGTCAGTGAGCCCTAGGGATTATAAATATCATCTTCCTGTCCAATGTTGGGATTATGAGCACTTTATGTGGGTTCTAAGGATCTATAACATGGCTGCTGCTGGTCATCTAGGGGACCATCAAGCTCACTCCCTGATATGAACAAAGAACTGAAAGACAGAAGACCAAGCCCTGGGGAAAGTAATAGCTTTATCAGTAGAAGAAGGCTTGGAATTACTAGATGGACTCTGGCTTAAGTATTTTATAGGGCCCCCAGGATCTCCCATTCCCACCATGGGTCATCCTATCCCCATGCTTTCCTGCCATTCTTTCCAACGTCTTCTAGGAACAAGAAGCTGTACTCTAAGGGAGACTGCTTTTTCTTTCCTTGTCCACCTAGATCCCCCAAAGTCTCTCAGATGGAATTTGGATCCTCATGCCTGCAAGGCAAGCACTTTGGTGACTGAACAATCTTTCCAGTTCCAGTCCCCACCTCTTAAAGGTCCCAGAAGTATAGGGGATCAAAATTCCAATGCATGGACCTTTAGGAGATACATTTAAAACATTTCCAAAATTCAAACTCTTTATCTTTCCTTAGCATGTTCATTGACTTTCCATTATATCACTTGTCAGATAGTGCACCACAGTTGGCAAGTTCATTGAGGGCCAGATTTATACCTAACTCATCATTTTAACTTCATGGTCTTACAGATGGCTTATAATGATTTCTGGAATAAAAATGTCGTGAACAAGGATACCTGTGTGATGTCACTTTATGGTTTTGTTACTCTTTTTCTCTCTATACCTGGTGACTTCTCTCCTGCTCTTTCCTTCCCTCCGTCCCTTCCTTCCTCCCTCTGTGTGTGTGTGTATGTGTGTGTGTGTGTATACACTGAATCTCAAACCCATTTCTACTACCTAGATGCAGTATGAACCATGAACTATTGTTCTGAATATCTTCACAGGACTTCTGATAAGCCCCAGGATATCTGTTATGAAGTTTTTTGTTTGTTTGTTTTTGTTTTAAGATTTATGTGTTTGGTATTTTGTCTACATGTGTGTCTGCACATAGAAGATGACATTGGGTCCCACAGGACTACAGTTATAGATGGTGTGAGATACCATGTAGGTGGGAATTGAACCCAAGACCTCTGTAAGAACAGCTGAATGCCCCTAACCCCTGACTGTGAAATGATAAAAAGCACTGTCAATACTATATAGCCATTTATTTTAACCAATACATTCTTTCTATAAATATACATAGCAATTTTGTAAAACTGATGTTATTTACAAGTCAAAAGACTACCTATTCTTGGCCAAGTGAGACCATGAAGCAGGTAAAGTCACTTGATGGTCAGTCTTGATGACCTGAGTTCAATCTCTAGAACCCATGTAAAGGTGGAAGGAGACAACTCCACGAAATAATCCTCTAACCTCCTTTGTGCATCATGGTATGCATGGCCCCCCTAATAAAAAATATATATAATCCTGTCTGGTAATAAATACTTCCACCTATTTTTTAAGAAGGTTTATTCTGTGTGTATGTGAAGGGTGTGTGCTGTGTGTGTTCCAAAGAAGACCAGAAAGGGCTTTGGATCCCTTGTAGCTGGAGTCACAGGTTATAGAGGAATTTTAATCGCTCTGGCAAATCACATCCAAAGACATTCTAGGTCTGTGTGATCTGGCTGGGATACAGACATACCTTTATTCCCAGGAGACAGAAGCAACCAGAACAATTCAGTCAGACTCTGAGTGAAGCCAGGATTTTGATCCAGAACAGCTGAGTTGAACCAACCAATTTAGAGTTAGAAAGGGTGAGCTTTTTAAGCAGTAAGTCTCAGAGGCTGAAAACACTCTTGGCCTAGATTAGCAGACAGAGGCAATAGACTCAGAGCCCACAATTACATCAGGTGAACAAAAGATATATTTACAACAGATGTGTCTGCCTGCTAGTGTAGGTGCTAGGAAACAGACCCAGGCTCTCTGAAAGCATTAAGTGTTAAGCACAGAGCCATCTCTCCAGCCCCTTCAGTTGATTTTTTTTATTAATTTAGCAGCGTTTACTACTGTTCACTAATAAGCCAAGCACTGGAGATTTTTTTTTTTTTCCCTTAATGTACAAACTTTTGTTTTCTCTTAAGTTGAAAATAGCATCCCTTTTTCATATAACTTTCTACTCATCATTCAATCTCAACAAATATGCTAAAGGATGCTCAATATTAGAGTTCACCTGCTTGGAACTATTAAATACAGTATAAACTTTTTTTTTTTTTTTTCTAGACAGGGTCTCACTATATAGCTTTGGCTGTCTCGGAACTATCACAGTTTAGACAAGTCTGGCCTCGAATTCAAAGATCCGCCTGCCTCTGCCTCCTAAATATTGGAATTAAAGGCATGCGCCACTAAAAACCGATCTCCTTCAACTCTTTATCCTCGCGCCCAGTGGTATATCACCACACCGGAGTTAATCAAAATTTCTGAACACAACCAGATCATTGAAAGACATTTCAGTATGTTTCTATAGTCACCTACCCAGCTTTTCATCAAAGGCCATTCCTCGGGTCAGTCACTGAGCTCGTTCCTGCACCGCACTCCATCCTTTTCTCTTGAAATGGCACACTGACCATCCCAGGTCCCACGGCAAGGGCGTGTTGCAGAAAAGAAACAGTTCACCTCCAAGCCAGCAGTACAGAAACCCCTCCAACGACCGGGAGCCGCCAGACCTGCGCCCTCAGGCGCCCTCCTCACGCGCAGCCTCCCCCAGAGGGTCTGCCCGCCTGACCTACACCCCGCCCCGCCCACTCAGCCTCCTCGGGCCCGCCGCTGCCACCTGGCCCCGCCCCTGAGCCGGATAGGTTCTTTTCCCTCGGGGCTAGCCCGCCTTCACCGCTTCCGTTTCCGGCGGTGTTGGCGGCGGCGCGTCCTAAAGCAATGGCGGCGGGTGGAAGTGATCCGCGGGCTGGCGACGTAGAAGAAGACGCCTCCCAGCTCATCTTTCCCAAAGGTGGGACCCAGGACAGCTCGGCTCCGAGGTTACGGAGTCCTTGAGTCATAGTCATTATCCGCTCCCTGAGCATTCGGGCCTGGCACGGTGTAGCCTTGAGAAGTGTTAAGCCCAGGGGGATTGGTCAGCATGGCACAGGTGAGCCCTTGCGTGGTTTAGTTAATTTCACCACACCCGTCAGTTTTGTATTTTGAGGGTGTCTTGTTATGTATCCTAGGCTGGCCTCCAACTTGTCGTATTCCTGTGCCATCCTCATGAGTGCTGGAATTAAAGGCAAGTGCCATCACTCTTGACATTTAGGGGAATTTAAGTTATGTCCTTTTCCTGGCATGCAAAAGACAAATCTGGAACAAAGGCTTTATTTCAAAATTGTTAGCTGACAGAAGCTGAGCTATGGTCCCATCGCAGTTCTAGTAAAAGCATTTCAAGGTCTCTAGGTCAGAAGTGGTCCCTGCCCTTAGCCTCTGTGCAGAGATGCTATTGCTGTTGGTCTCTGGGCCCTTGTAGCTTTTTAGGTTGGGAAGAACAATTAGAAGCAAGATGGATTCCACTCTGGGATGGCTGCTGCCTCCTTTTGCTGGATAGATGTGTGCCAGCAGCTGGGCATACTACTCTGTTCCTGCTCCTTGAAGCCTGCGGTAGGAGAATAGTTTGAGCTCAAGAGTTCAAGGCTAGTCAGGGCATTACAGTAAGACCTCAAAACTCATGCTGTGCTTTTGTGAGTTTTGATTTGAGACAGGGACTCATGGTAGCCCAGACTGGCCTGCAGTTAGATAAATAGGCAACGATGGCTTCACATCTTCCTGCCTCTCCTTCCATAGTGCTAGGATTATAGAGAGGAGCCACGCACTGGGTGTAGGAGTGCCAGGAATTAAATGTAAGCTACACCCCCAGCCCCTGAACAGAGCACTGTTATAAAATCTTATATCTGTAACAAAATATCTACAGAAAAATTATCAGATGAGGTATTGAATAATGAGTTGTTTTTTTTCTTTAGGAACAAGGAGCAATAAATTTTGTTCTTAAAATATTTGTACAAGGATTCCCTAATCTATTTCATTTCCTTTTGTTTCCTGATAATTTTGTGTGTGTGAGAGAGACACTGTGTGTGTGTGTGTGTGTGTGTGTGTGAGAGAGAGAGAGAGAGAGAGAGAGAGCGAGCGAGCAAGCAAGAGAGCTGTTTATTAGGGAGGGATCTTAGGTCTCTCTGAAGTTATAGCACAGTGTTTGAAGCTGGAGAGTTAGCGCAGCAGGTAAGAATACTTGCTAAGCAAACAGGAGGATTATACATGTTAAAGGGGTGGGGTGGGTGGAGAAATGGCTTTGTCATTTAGAGCATTGGTTGCAGAGGACAGTGGTTCAGTTCCCAACACCCACATGGTGGCTCACAACCATCCATAGCTCCAGTTCCAGGGAATCCAGTGCCCTCTTCTGGCCTCCCCAGATACCAGTGACATATGTGGTACACACATGTACACAGGCAAAATAATTGTATGTGTGGAGGTGCTTGTATGTGTGTATAACAAAATAAATAAGTAATTTAAAAAAATCCGGTGTGGGCATGTGCACTTGTAACAAGCCTTATAGTGGTCAGAGAATAGAGGATCACTGGGGCTGCTGACTTTCAGCCTAGCTCCAGGTCAGTGAGAGACCCTGTCTTGAGGGAATAAAGCATTTATGTATGTACACCGCATTCATGCCTGGTACTGCAGTATTCAGAAGAAAAAAATTGTTTCCCCAGGAATTGGAGTTCTAGATGGTTGTGAACCACCATGTGATTGCTGGGAATTTAACAGTTTGTTTGCAGGATCAACCAGTGCTCTTAACCACAGAGCCATCTACTAAGGAATGCTAAGAGTGAGGGAAAAATTACCTTTTCCAGAGAAAAGCACACCAGTTGGTTATCGGATACCAAATAGTTAGCCCTGAAAACATTTGTGCCCTGAAAACATACATACATGCATACATACATGTATAACTAATGTTATACAGATTGAGCAGTTTATATTTAGAAATACACACACACACTACACAAATATGTGCATGTAACAACAATTAATGAAAAGATAGAATAAGGAGGGTTTTAGGATGGTATAGAGCAGTGGTTCTCAACCTATGGGTCTCTACCCCTTTGGGGGCTGAAGAATCCTCCCACAGGGTTCAAATATCAGATATCCTGCACATCAGATATTTACATTATGGTTTATAACAGTGGCAAAATTACAGTTGTGAGGTAGTTACAAAAATAATTTTATGGTTGGTCACAACACAAGGAACTGTATTAAAGGGTCGCAGCATTAGGAACGTTAAGAACTACTTGTTTAGAGGGAAAAAGGGAGGGGGAAATGGATGTAATTATATTATTATCTCAAAAATAAAAGAAATAGTAAATAAAGATGTAACAACAAACCAGGCAGTGGAGGCACACAGCTTTGATCCCAACAGAGGTCAGCCTGGGCTACAGAGTGAATTCCGGGTCAGCCAGAAACCCTGTCTCAAAAAACATGAAATAATTGTGTGTATGAGTATGTGCATACAGGTACTTGTGGAAGCCAAAGGTATCACATTCCCTGGAGCTCCTGGGAACTGACTTGGGTTTTCTGCAAGAACTGCAAACCCTGGGCTGGAGAGCTGCCTCAGAGGTTAAGAGCACTGGCTGTTCTTTCAGAGGTCCTAGCAACGACACGGAGGCTCACAGCTGTCTATAATGAGATCTGGTGCCCTTTTCTGGTATGCATCTGTACATGCAGACAGAACATTATATACATAATAAATAAATCTTAAAAAACAAAAACAGCAAACCCTCTCAAGTATCTATCTGTACAGCCGACAGCCCTGCTCCTCCATCTCCAGTTTTTGAGATGGAGCCTCATTCGGCACTGGCTAGCCTGGAATTCTCTGTGTAGACCAGGCTGGCATCAAACATGCAGCGATCCTCCTGTCTCTGCCTCCAAAGTGCTGGGATTACAGGCATGTGCTCAGTTTATATAGTGTTATGGATGGGATTTATTGCTTTTTGCATACTGGGAAAACATTCTACCCACTTAGCTACATTCTCAGTGTGTGTATGTGTGCATGTGCATGTTTGGTTTGTACATATGTGTGGGCACATCTTATACAAGTACTTATAATGGCCTGGACTTGAGATTGAGTAAATTTCTTGGTGATTTTCTACACATTAAGGCAAAATCTCTTGCTGAACCTGGAGCTCATTAGTCCTGCTAGTCTTAGATAAGTCAGCTTGCCCACTATGTCTATTTTGTGGGTTCTAAGGATCCCAGCTCTGCTCCTCAAACTTGAATGGCAAGTACATCATTCACTTAATTATCTGCCCGGCCCCAGGAAATGATGTTGTCTTTTGTGTATTTTTAAAATTGGGATGGAGAATTTCTCTCTCTTTAGAATTTTATCAGGATATTTTACCTGCATGTATGTCTGTATGCATTCTGGTGCCTATAGGAGCTAGAAGTAGGTGCTGGATCTCCTGTAATTGGACTTAAAGATGATTGTGAGCCAGCTTGTGGGTTCTTAGAAGAGAACTCTGATCTCTGCAAGATCAGCCAGTGCTCTTAAGTGCTGAACAGTCTCTTCAGCCCCCATGTTACTGTTTTAAGATTGTCTTTTATTTTGATTATGTGTGTGCAGGTGCCGGAGGAGGCCAGAGGTGCTATGAGGTGTCTGATGTGGGTGCTGGGAATTGAACTTCTTTTGCAAGAGTAGTACATGCTCATTTCTCCAGCCTTCCAGGTTTTGCTTTTTAGTGTGTGTGTGTGTGTGTTTGAGTCTCTATATTTCTGGCTGTCCTGTAGCTCACTAATATAGACCAGATTGGCCTCAGACTGAGAGATCGTCTTGCACCTCTGTCTCCCAGGTGCTTTTTTTCTTTTTTCTTTTTGGTTTTGGAGACAGGGTTTCTCTGTGTAGCCCTGGCTGTCCTGGAACTCAATCTATAGATCAGGCTGGCCTCAAACTCAGAGATCCACCTGCCTCTGCCTCCCAAGTGTTGGAAAGGCATGCTTTTTAAAAGACTAATTTCTTTCATTTTTAAGAGAAAGAAAATTTATTAGGTTGATTCAGTTTTTATGTATGCAGGGTGAAAGATTCAAATACAATGCAGTTTTCTGTACAGATGAATATTCTGATCACCTTTCCCTTAGATATTGTATTATCAGGGATTCTGGATTCCCTTCTTCTGGTCTTCTGAATACAGGAAACAATTGACAAAATTAACTCAAATGAACCAGAGATCTAAATGCAAAATTATAAATCTTCTAGGAAAACACTCATGTAGCTGGGCTTTGACAATGAATCTTTAGGTTCAACACCAAAAGAATAGTTCATTAACATCCATAAGAAAGTAATACTAAGCTGGACCTTAGAAAAACAGGTTCCCTTCCCCATGCCACTCTCTGACCCACATAAAAGAGTATTTTCAGTTCACACTTATTCTTCTCACAGAATTTGAGACGGCTGAGACACTCCTAAACTCTGAAGTTCACATGCTTCTGGAGCATCGAAAGCAACAGAATGAAAGTGCAGAGGATGAGCAGGAACTTTCCGAGGTCTTCATGAAGACCCTAAACTATACAGCCCGTTTTAGTCGATTCAAAAACAGAGAGACGATTGCCAGCGTTCGTAGGTGAGTACTAAAAAGTCCAAAAACAAAATTTACTTATGTATGTCTTATAAGTGTTTTGCCTGCTTGTATGTCAGTATTCCATATGTGTGCAATGTCCACAGAGGCCAGAAGAGGGTGTCAGATTCCCAGGACTGGAATTACAGACAGTTGAAGCCACTATGTAAGTGCCGAGACTCAAAATCCAGATCCTTAGAAAGAACAGTGCTCTTTAACTGCTGAACCAGATCTCCAGCCCTGTAAAACAAAGTTTTATTATAGACCCTCATGAAAGGTAGAGGCTGTAGGGTCAAGGAGTTTAAGGTCATCCTTAGCTGCAAAATGGGTTTAAAGCCAGCCTTGACTACATGAGACTCTGTTTTAAAAACACAAGAGAAAATGGAGCCAGTGGGTAAAAAGTGCTTTCTAGCTGGGATGTGGTGTGGGCACCCTTTTAATCCCAGTATTGACAAGGCAGAGGCAAACAAATCTCTGAGTTCCACCTCATCTATAGAGTTCCAGGATAGCCAGAGCTACGCAGAGAAACTCTGTGTCAAGAAAATAGAACAAAACAAGTTCTTTCTGTGTAAGCTTACCACCTGTGCTTACGACCTGTAGAAAGCCATGTGCACTCAGAAGCTCTGAGAATGAAATTCCCAAAAGTTGCCCTCTAAACATGTATGCTTACACACACACACACACACACACACACACACACACACACACACACACCACACACACAAACACAAATGGTTAAATAAATAAATCACACACACACATAAACATTAAAAATACACACACACAAAAAAACCTAGCCAGTTTTGTGGCACATGCCTTTAATCCCAGAATTATTGAGGCAGAGACAGGAGAATTTCTGAGTTTTTTAAGTCCAGACTGCTTTACATAGCAAGTTCCAGGACAACATAGAACCTGTCTCCAAAAATAAAAATAAGTCCTCATTAACATTTGCTTTTAAGGACAAACATTCATTTAATTTTTTTTGTTTGTTTTCATGACAGGGTTTCTCTCTGTAGCCTTGACTGTCCTGGAGTAGCTTGTAGACCAGGCTGTCCTCGAACTCACATAGATCCACCAGCCTCTGCCTCCCAGGTGCTGAGGTTACAGGCGTGAGCCAGTGTTCCTTTGTGTAGCCTTGGCTGTATGTATAACTTTTTTGAGGCAGTCTCACTATCTAGCTCTGGATGTTCTAGAACTATTAGACCAGGCTGTCTTCTAACTTATAGATATCCTCCTCCTTCAAGATTAAAGGTATCTACACCACACCGGTCTTTTAAAACTTATTATTATTAGTAGTAGTAGTAGTAGTACTATTGAGACAGATTCTACTTTGCGGCTTTACTTATTGTGAAACTTGCTGTGCAAGCCAGGCTGCGGTGAACTTGAATGTATCACCAGGTATGGCAAACTTTTTTTTAATTTTATTTTAAGTTTTGTTTATATGTATGTATGAGCTTGTATGTATTGCACCATATGCATTCAGTGCCAGCACTAGCAGAGGGCAGAAGAGACGTTGAAGACATATGTGAGCTACCTAATATGGGTTCTAGGAACCAAACTTCAGCCTTCTGAGGATTGGAAGTGCTCTTACTGCTGAGCCATCTCTCCAGTCCCCCACATCTAAGTTCTTTATATATTTATATGAAAGAGGTTTATTAGATGGAGATGAAGAGAGAGAGAGAAGGGAGAACAGGACATGATGGGGAGAAAGAGAGAGGGAGCACTCCGAAAGAGAAAGGGGAGAGGGCGAGACGGCAAGAGAGGCCAGAGGGAGCAAGAGGAGCAAGAGATACATCTAAGTTCTTAATACATCATTCTGAAACCAAACTTATTCTAGTAAGCCTATTTTATAGTGTAGATTAGGAAGATCCTGAAGATACAGTTTATACACAGATTTGCACAAACCAAAGTCTGTTGTACTTATTTTCAAAGTTAGAGGACAGGTACTTCCATACCAACAACTTAATAGACTGACAATCAGATCCCTGTGTTTGACATTGACTTATCAAAGGTAGCAGGAAGAGCAAAGAGTTATAGTCACTTCCTGGAGGAAGTTTTTTTTTTTTTTTTTATATTTATTAAGTTTATTTTTATTTTATGTGTGTGGGTGTTTTGCCTGTCCACCACACAAGTGCCCAGTACACATGGAGGCCAGAGAGGGTTCTCGGAATTTCAGACTGTTGTGAGCCTCCATGTGGGAATTAATTAGCCTCTGAAAAAGCAGCCCTTAACCACTCACTGCACCATTTCTCCAACCCAGCAGATACCTCTTTACCCTGCTTCCTTCTCGTCAGTCTTCTTGGCCCTGACTGCTGTGGGTTTTTGTTGTTGTTGTTTTCTGTTTTTTCCTGGAACTTGTTTTTCGGGAATTAGGAACAGGAAGTGATTTCAAAGGGGGATTCTGTTGCCCACATGAGCATGTTCAAAGACTGTAAAAAGTTTTTCTCAACTGCATTTGATCTTCTCTTTGCTGTTGATCCATGTTTAAGATTTGACCAGCACTGAGTAAGAATGTAAATTTTGTTTTTTTATTAGTGTATGTTAACTGTACATAATCATGGGCGCCATATGACATTTTTATACAGGTATATATTTTGATGATGCTTGTTTCTCCCTATTATGGCTCTTGTTTCACTCACTCTCTCTTGTCTTTCTGTATTTTTATTTTCCCCTGAAATCAGCTTGCTTCTCCAGAAAAAGCTACATAAGTTTGAGTTGGCCTGTTTAGCCAATCTTTGCCCAGAGACTGCTGAAGAGTCCAAAGCTCTCATTCCAAGGTTAGTACTAGATAAGTTTTGTCTGTTTTATACAGATTTCTCCAGGTCAAATTGCTAGATATAAAAGCTGTATAAATTTAACATTTGGGTTAATGACATGCCAGCACTGAATAAAAATACAATTTTATGGTGTTTTAGCTATGATTTGGAGGTTGGTTTTGTTGTTTGTTGGTGGTAATCTCAGATAGCCAAGGCTTTCCTTGAGCTCTAGATTGTCCTGCTTCCACCAGCCAAGAGCTGGGATTACAGATGTCAGCTATCACTACTGGTGAATAAGAGTTTGAGGTTTGTTTGTTTGTTTGTTTGTTTGTTTTGGGATCTGACACCTTCACACGAATGCACATAAAATAAAGTTAAATAAATTATTTAAAATATCTTATATATTGCAACTTTTCAGTGCTTCTATAAGGGAAGGTGAAAAAGAAATTCAGTTTAAACTTATAGGTGGTAGAGCTAAGTGAGCTGACCCCAGAGATGAACCGTCTGTGAAAAACACTGTGGGAAACTTGCCGTTGCTACGTCACATTTGTTTATTGGTCTTCCTGTAGCCTGGAAGGTCGTTTTGAAGATGAGGAACTGCAGCAGATTCTCGATGATATCCAGACCAAGCGCAGCTTCCAGTACTAATCACCAGACATTCTCTGCTTTTGAGACTGCTCCGGAACAGCACCAGGTTCCCAAGCCTGTGTCAGCCTCACGGGACACTGCTGCACAATCGCCGGGGCTTCTCTGTGGTTCTCAAAGTCATGACAGTTCTGCCTCAGCCTCCCAAGTGCTGGGATTACAGGTGTGAGGAAAGGCTGGCGTGGCGATGGTCTAGGTTTCTGTCTCCATAGTGACTACCAGATCAGAATTACTGAGTCTTCTTCTTGCAGCCTTGTAATGGCTGCTGTGGTCAAGCATGCTGCAATCTTGAACCAGTGGGGTAGACATGTAAAGCATGTGTTGACTAACTCCTACTGTGGTTTCTTGGGCTCCATGTTATTATTTTTTTTTGTTCTTGACATTTCAATTATATTTTTGATTGATGCATATTTCAAAAAAATCAGTATTTTGTATTTTTTGAAGCTGTTATATTAAAAACTTGTACAGAGGAAGAATGTTCTTACCTATTTGCCAAAGGAGAGATAAACCAGAACATTGCCATTATGTGATTTTTTTTAAAGGATTGTATTATTTGTTTATGATCCATGATGTGTGTGGAGGTCAAAGGATAACTTGCAGGAGTCAGTTCTGTCTATTGTGTGGTTTTTCAGGTTTGAATTCAAGCTGTCAGCCCTGGTGGCATGTGCCTTTAACCACTGGACCATCTTTCTGGTCCCTAGTTTATTTTTATTTTATTTATGGATTCATCTTTGCAATTTAAGAGACCAGATCCAAAGCCTTGCATATGCTAGACAAGTGCGGTAACAGTGAGTAACATTCTAGCTCTGAATTCCTTTGGCTTATGTCTGTGTGTTCTATCATATGTATGTACAAGTGCGCCCATCAGTGTAAGGAGGCTAGCAGAGGACAATGGATGTATGCCCATAGTTCTGTCCATTGAGATGGGGTCTCTCTCACAGAACCTAGAACTAGACTGGATGACAAAAACTCCAACAATCCTGTCTCCAGTCTCTCGTTGTCCTCGCCATCACTGGAGTTCCAGGCATGTACAGGTGCAGCATGTCAGTCTTCACTAACTTTAGTTCTGAGGATACAGATTCACATCTCCGTGCTTTCACAGCAAGTGCTCTTACTCACTGAGCCAGTCCCCCAGTCAGCTTGACATGTTTAAAACATGAGAAGCGCAGTTGACTGAAAGAACTTTGACATTACTGTACATAACCTGGAGACAGGAAGGAAGCACACTGTGGGAAGCAGTTACCCCTGGGTCCTTAGCCTTGTGGTAGATTTACTTCAGCTTGGGGGCGAGGGGCTGACTTGAAGAATGTATATGTGAAATGGCCGCGAAGAGTTTATATTGTCTCCTTCCAATCAAGACCTCTCCTTCATAGGCCAGATTTGAAGACTTAAACACTGAGGTCTCCTCATGAGATAGTTAATGCAAATCCCTGGTTTGATACTTAGTGACAGGTAGTCTACTGTCACTATGTTCACTATGTGGAAGGAGTGACTGTGCTCCTGTCTCAGTGCTAGAAACCAGGTTCAGTATGTCTGGTGTCCTCTCAAATCCCAGCACTCTGGAGGGAGGCAGAGGCAGGGAGATCCCTGAGTGTGAAGTCAGCCCGGTGTTACACATGCTGAGATCCAGGATAGATAAGCCTACATAATGAGACCCTTCTGGGGGAAAAAAGTGAGGAAAAGTTAAAAAAAAAAAAAATTGGAAAATAATGCCTGAAAGGAGAGAGCTCGCGAGCCCTGTGAGCCTCTCGGTTTATTTCATAGAGATCTTAACAGGCTTTCATGAAGTCCTGTAAGTGATCACAGGCTGCTCTGATTCAAGGTGGTGGTGCTTATAGCTAGCCTGAAGGAAACAGCCACAGGATGGGCTTAACAAGCCAGGTGTTTTCATGAGTGCTGGGGAGGATGAGTCAAAGTTGGTCAGAGTGTTCTGCGGAGGTTGGAGGGGTGGATGAGGAGGCCTGTGGAGTCAAAGAACCTGCTTACAAAAAAATGCAGAATGCAATGGTGGCTACAGAAGAAGAGAGAGAGCTGGGTCAGCATGGAACTATACAGAGAGGAGATGGAAGACACCATAGGAAGCAGCAGCCATGGAGCAGAGCTGTAGAGTGCTTGTCAGCTTAGAAGAATGATGCAAACTTGGAGAAGTTAACTTTCTGGAGTTCTGGAAAGAAATGAGGTCCAGTGGCCAAAAGGGAAGCTAGACAGGAGCAGGAAAGACTGCAAGGGAGGTAGGCAGGGTGTGTGGCATAAACAATAGATAGATGGAGCCCTTATATGACAATACGAGTGTTACAAGGCTTATTTACGTATCGTGGCCACCACTGGACTATCCATCCAAAGAATACTTTGTATTTAGCTGGGTGGTAGTGGCACAGGCCTTTAATCCCAGCACTCCAGAGACAGAGGCAGGTGGATCTCTCAGTTCTGAGGCCAGCCTGGTCTACACAGTGAGTCATAGTAAACATTTTGTGTTACGAATGTGTGGGTGAGTAGGTATGAATGTGTGGAGGTGAGAGGACAACTACTGGAAAGAGGTTCTCTCCTTAACCACAACTCCTGGGGTATCAGGCTTGGTGGCAAGCACCTTGTTGAGTCATCTTGTTGGCCCAAATTTGGGCATAGAACACACCTTTTGTTTTGTTTTGTTTTTTGTTTTTGTTTTGAGATAGGGCCTCACTATGTATGTAGCTCTGGCTATTCTGGAACTCACTGTGTAGACCAGGCTGGCCTTGAGTTTACAGAGATAGTGCTGGGATTATAGACATATGCCACAACAGCTGGCTGATTTTTGGGTGTTTTGTTTTGTTTTGTTTTGTTTTGAGATAAGGTCTCACTCTGTACCCACGCTGGCCTGAATTAACAGCAAACTGCCTGCTTCCTGAGTGTCGCAATTATAAAAGAATATACTTGGCCAAACATTTCATGATGTTTATGGTGCTGTTACAATAATAAGATCATTGCCAGAATGGTGTGATAGGAGAGTATGGCAGGAACTCCACAAGGAGAGATCAGAACCAAAATATCTGGGTCCAGGGGTCTTTTTTCAGACTGATACTCCAACCAAGGACCATTCATGGAGATAACCTAGAACCCCTGCACAGATGTAGCCCATGGCAGTTCAGTGCCCAAGTGGGTTCCATTGTAATGGGAACAGGGACTGTCTCTGACATGAATTTAGTGGCCTGCTCTTTGATCACCTCCCCCTGAGGGGAGAGCAGCCTTGCCAGGCCACAGAGGAGAACAATGCAGCCAGTTCTGATGAGACCAGATAAGCTAGGGTCAGATGGAAGGGGAGGAGGACCTCCTTATCAGTAGACTTGGAGAGGGCCATGGGAGAAGATGAGGGAGGGAGGGTGGAATTGAGAGGGGAGGAGGGAGGGGGTACAACTGGGATATAAAGTGAATAAACTATATAAAAATAAAAATTAAAAAAAAGAGAGAGTATGGCAGGGCACATACCTGTAATCCCAGCACTGTGGGAGGCATAGGCAGGATCTCTGAGTTCAAGGCTAGCCTGGTCTACCAAGCTAGCCAGGACAGCCATGTCTTGAAAAACCATGTCTTGAAAAACAGAGAGAGAGAGAGAGAATGAATGAATGAATGAATGAATGAATGAATGAATGAATGAATGAAAGAAATAGTCTTCCCTCCCCCCTTTTAAGATATGGTGTAGGCTCACCTCTAACTTCTGGTCCTTCTTTCTCTGCTTTTAGAATACTGAGATTATGGGTTTGTGCCACCATTCCTGGCTTTATGTAGTATTGGAGTTGAACCCAGGGTCTCTGTCACACTAGATAAATGTTTGCCAGCCATGAAATAGTCATTCGTGAAGCTTGTAATCTCAGTACTTGGGATGCAGGTGCAAAAGGATCAGGTGCTCAGGCATCCTCAGCTACATAGCAAATTAAAGACATGCCTTTAATCCCAGCACTCGGGAGCAGAGGCAGGTGGATCTCTGTATTCAAGCCTAGCCTGGTCTACAAAGTGAGTGCCAGGGCAGCCAGGTTTACACAGAAAGCTTGTCTCGAAAAAAACCAAAAATAAAAAATATAATGGCAAGCCTGGGCTACATGAGACCCTGTCTCAAAAACTAACACCTCCATCTTCCCACCCAGTGAGAGGATAAATAAAAGAATAATATGGTCAGATAGCCTGGAAAGCTGTATGGCTCCTTATCTGAAGCTGTGTAAGATGACTAATAAAGGCACAAAGGCCGCACTTGGAAAGCAGAGGCAGGTGGATTTCTGTGTGTTCCAGGTGTACCAGGGCTACAAAGTGAAACCCTGCCTTCAAAAGTACCCGCCACTAAAAATAGTACAAAGGGAGGTAATGATTTGCATCTGAAATAGGAGCCCTGTAGGGATCTTATGTGTGCCTTGGTTCCTAGTGTAGCAATGCTCAAAGTATCATGATGACTTCATATGCTATCAAATGTGATGAGTACTGATGAGAGGCAGAACCTAAGTGAAGGGAGTAGGCTATTGGAGGTATGCCCTTAGGTGTCAGCCTTGGTTCCTTCCTCCTGCTGTCTTTCTCTTTGCTTCCTGAACATCATGAATTAAGCAGCTTTTTCCGGCACCTGCTTCTGTAACCATGATGTTCTGCTGCAGAGCAGTCAACCGTGGATTGTAACCTCTGGAACAGTATGTATAATTAATCTCCCTTCCTTTTTAATTTTTTTTTTAAGTCCGAGTCTCCACATTCTGTGTTCATAGTCAAGGCTGACTGAACTGACTGTCTAGCCTCCACCTACTGCGTTACAGACTCGCATTACCATATCTTGTTTATATGTCCAGGCTCAAACCCAATTCAGGGCTTCCTGAAGGCTAGCTGTCCTAATTTAGGTTTTAGTGGCTTTGATAAAATATTAATCATTACGTGGTAGGGCAGGGTTTATTCGATTTACCCATCCCAGGTCTCAGACTAAAATACGACTGAGAGAAATCAGGAGGCAGGAGCTGAAGCGGAGCCATGGAAGAACACTGCTCACTGGCTTGCTTGCACCCAGCTTGCTTTTACATAACCTAGGACATCCTGCCCAGGTGTGGCACTACCATCAATCACGAAAAGGCCCCCAGAGACTTGCCCATAGGTCATTCTTTTCAATTGTGATTCCTTTTTAGATGACTAATTTGTGTGAAGTTGACAAAAAACAAGTAAATAGCAGAATTTGTCAGTGAGACACATAAACTAATAACTTGAGTTGGAGAGATGGCTCAACAGTTAACACCAGCTGCTTCCCGGGGATCAGTGTTTGATTCCCAGCACCCATCCGGTGACTGCTAACCATTTGAACTCCAGTTTCAGGTCTCTGTGGGCACTGCATGCAAGTTTATGCAGGAAAAATACCTACACATAAAACAAAGGACTTTAATACCTTTAATTCCAGAACTTGGGATCTAGTGGCAGACAGATCTCTGTGGGTTTGATGACAGGTGATTCTACATAGTTTCAAGAGAGCCAGAAATACGTAGACCCTGGCTCAAAGAAACAACAAAACCAGTAAATACTTTAAAAAATCTAATAACCACTCCTTTTTTATACTAAATATCATGTTCATATTATTATCACAATATAAATACAGTTCAGTGCTGGGCATTGCTCACACCTTTATTCCCAGCACTTGGGAGGCAGAGACAAGCAGATCTCTGTGAGTTCAAGGCCTGCCTGGTTTACAAAGTGAGCTCCAGGGCTGTTAAGGTTACAGAGTGATTTTACCTCAAACCACTGGCCTCCCAAACCAAACCAAATAAGCAAATAAATAAAAGCCCATCAGTTGGGGCTTTAGAGAAGACTCAGCTAATAACTTTGTTTTGTTTTGTTGAGACAGGGTTTCTCTGTATAACAGAGCTCTGGCTGTTCAGGACTTGCTTTGTAGACAAAGCTGGCTTCGAAATCACAGAGATGCACCTGCCTCTGCCTCCTGAGTGCTGGGGTTAATGGTGTGCACCACCATGATTGACTAATAGCATTTTTTGTTCTTGCAGAGGATGTGGGGTTGGAGAGATGGCAGAGTGGCTAAGAGCACTTGCTTGCTCATCTTGCAAGTACTGGACCTGAATTAGATTCCCAGCACTCACATGGCAACTCAGAGCACCTATAACTTCCTCTTCCTGGGATTCACTCCTAGTCTGGGCTGCAAAGGCCTTGTGAAGCTCCAACTCTACCATTTTACCTTCCACAGACCACATAGCTTGTCCTGGCCAACTCCCTTCCACCACACTTGCTGCTGCTCTTGTTTATTCCACGGAATTGGTATCACTAGTATGCTGGAATGTTTACTGCAATTGAGGTTACACCTTCACCAGTTGCCTGAGCCCTTCAGTACTGGGCTTCACATTAAGGAGGCTGCACCCTTACCAATGGCCTGCCTATTGCAAGGACTCTACCCTTGCTATGATACCAAGTCTTGGCTGCTCTTCCTACACCCTTCAGGCCTTCATGTGGGAGATGCTTACATATTACCAAGTTCAGCTGCTAGTTTCAGGGGCAGTTTTGGCCCCTCTGCTCCATCTTGATTGCAATGACACACAAACACACACAATAAATACTACTTTAAATTTTAAAAACAAAGGACTACAGAGATGGCTCAGTAGTTGAGAGTGCATACTGTTCTTGTAGAGGACCCCAGGTCAGTTCTGAGGACTCTTGTTGGGTGGCTTATCACGTGATTACAACTCTGGGGGATCTGACACTTACGGCTTCCAAGGACACCTGCATTCATGTGTGTGAACATCCATACAGACACCCACACACACAATTCAAATCAAAATCCTTAAGAATTCAAAAATTAAGGCTGCAGCACAGTGGTGCAAAGGCAGAGGCAGGTAGATCTCTTGAGCTTGAGGCCAGCCTGGTATACAAAGTGAGTTCCAGGACAGCCAGGGCTACACCAAGAAACCCTGTCTCAAACAAACAAACAAAAAACAAAAAACCTCAATCAAACAGAAAGTTTAAAAATGAAATATACTTCGTATTTTGTAAAGGTGACCACTGAATTCACTTAAATAACTTCTACACCTTGGGTCATGTACGGTTGCAGAAACAGCTGAAAACGGGCATTCAGGAGATGTGCACAGGTTCTTTGTAGCTTTCACCTGTATCACTCTTTCATGGCTGTCCATATACCATAGCCTGTTGGCTTCTGATTGCTCCTTATTTTCACACATCTGCCAACTGAGGAATGTGTCAGGCTGTCTTTGCACCTAGATTCAGAATCCAAGGGAGCACCTAACCTCTTGTAGCCAATGATAGCCTCCAACTGCCCAGTAGCCAAGGATTGTCTTGAATGCCTCTTCCGTCTCTTGTGTCCCAGGTGCTGTATATGGGCACATCCCAGCATGCCTGGTTTATCTGCTATGGGGAGCAGATAAAGTCCTTAGTGAATATGTGTTATTGACAAGCAAAGCTGTGTCAAGGACTCCAATGCCTCAGAACCATAGTGTCTTAGGGTTTCTAATGCTGTGGTAAAATGCCATATCCAAAAGAAATTTGAGGAAGAAAGGATTTATTTTGCTTACATTTCCAGATTACAATCCCTCATGCCCTGAGAGAAGTCAGAGCAGGAATCCAAGGCAGGAACCTGGAGAAAGGAAGTGATACAGAAACCAGAGAAGAGTGCTACTTACTGGCTTGTTCTTCAAAGCTTGCTTAGCCTGTTTTTGCACGCAGGACCACAGCCGCTGTTGGTACTGCCCACAGCCAGCTGGGCCCTTCGCCATCAGTCAATCAAGAAAGTACCACAAGCTTGCCTATTGGCCAGTCTGGTGGGGGCATTTTTTCAGCGGAGGTTCTGTCTTCCCAAATGATTCCAGTTGGACATGTCATCTATCCAGGGCAAGACTGAAAAGGACAAGTAGGGGAGGACAGTTAGGAAGCAATTTCATTATTTAAAAGTGACTTTGACTAATGCAGACTTTTTGTAGAGCTTTGCAGTGCTTACAGTTTCTGTCCTGTTTTCAGTCTGTGTGTATTTGTGTGTATATGTGTGTCTAGAGGCTAAAGGTAAAAGGTGTCTTCCTCAATTGTTTTCTGCATATATATATTCTTTTTCACCACACAAAACCATTTAAGGGTGGATATGGCAGAGTGTATCTTTAATTTCAGCACTTGAGAGGCACGTGGCTATCTGAGTTTGAGGCCAAGCTGGCATATTGAGCCCAGGCCAGTCAGGGCTACAGTAGGGAGACTCAAGTCCTTTGCAAGAACATTATGTACTCCAAACCTCTGAGTCATCTCTCCAGCCCCTACGTGCTTTCATTACATTCACCAAGTAACACAGACTTACAGTCAAGTGCTGTGCTCACTTGAATTAGGAATAAGACCCAGGCCATCTAGGCCTGTGCGCTGCTACCGCCAGCAATGGTTAGGGCACAATGTGGCACACCCGTTTTACAAAATTACCTTGTAGAGTTATTTTTCTTTGGTTTCTATGTTTCTTTTTGTGGATAAGGTTAGTTTTTTTCTAAGACTTTGAATTTGTGTATTCAAGGATGTCTTTGAACTTCTGACCCTCCTGCTCCCACTTGATAGGCTGTCACATCCAGTTTATGCAGTCCTAAAGAGAACCCTGGGATTTTATGCTAGGCAAACACTTGACCAAACGAGCAACACCTATATGCCTTTCTATTAATTATAATATTTTTTGTATATGTGCACACCAAGGTTGCCAGTTGTCAGGGGAGAATCTGTTTGTTTCCCACCATGTAGGACCGAGGGTCAAGCTAAGGCAGTCAGGCTAGGCCGACCTCAACACCTTTACCGATTAAGCAGGAGCCTGTGAGAAGCAGGCTCCTCTGGTTTTTGGAGAAAGGCCCTGAATTCCTGGTAATCCTCCTGTCGCAGCCTCTTAAATGCTCCGGTTACAAGCATCAGCCGTCAAGCCCGGCTTAAACGAGCGTCTTATTTAGTTTTGTAAAATGAGATGTTTTGAGAGCATCCAGGATAGCTCACAAGGTGAAGAAAGTCGGTAAGGCGAAAGGCCCCGGGGTTAGGATACTTCGTACAGCCGCCAAGACAAACGCAAACCTTTGGGCGCCAGAGATCTAGTCTCCACCCCTCACCTGCGCGCATGCTCTACTTAAGCCCCCGGTAGACCTGCGGCATAGGAGCGCGTGACGTAGCGCCGTGAGGCCGCGATGACGCACAGGCGTACGCTCAGTGGCTCCTCGGGGAAGATGGCGGCTGCATCTTTGAAGGAGAGGAATTGAGAGTGGGGAGAAGGGAAGAGGACCAGACCGTAGAGGCGTTCCCTGCGGCGCCGAGGGTCGCCGCGCTCGCGGTTGGGAGCTCCTCCTGGCCCACCACGGTGAGTGCGCGGCGGGGCCTGTAAGCGCCGCCGGCGGCCGCGCTCCGCCATTTTCGGGCCCGGCCGTTGCGTGCTTCGGGGGTCCGGAGTGGGACAGGTCGCGGGAGAGAGGAGAACGGACGTCCGCACGGTCGGCCGCGGCTGGTGGGGGGTCCCGGCGGAGGGGCTGTGCGGAGGGGGCCGTGAGGCAGCGTAGGCCCAGCCGAGACTGCCAGGCCGGCCGCAGAGACGCGAAGTTCGGAGGAAGGAAGCGCGTTGGGACGGGAGGGGAGTGGAATGGAGTGCGGCTTTGAGGGCTGCCCAGGAGGGGGCTGGAGAAGTTCCTGGGAATCCGGGGAAACAGCTGGAGATTGAGGCTGGGTGCTTTCTAAACTTGAGGTCCATGTCGGGGGCGGGGAGAAAGGCAGAGGCTTGCTCTTTTGCACGAGTTTCATTCCTAGCTGGCTCCTTACAAATGTCCCATTAAGCAGTAAGTCTCCATTTCCGTCTGGAAATTAAACACTGGTCTCAATATGTGGGGGGCAAAAGCCCTCCTGGCAACTAGATGTTTATGGTATTAAAAAGGGTCTCTGGTTTCCTTTTCTCCTTTTCCCCATTTCTTTGAAACTGGTCTAGTTGTATTGCCTATGTTGGCCTCGAATTTCCAGTCTTCCACCTGCCAGGCACAAGCAAGAGATTACAAGAGCTCGCTACCTGGCTAGGCTAGCGGTCCTTTTTTGTTTGTTTTGGTTTGATTTGATTTTTTTTTTTTCCTTTTGATAGACAGGCTGCCGTAGAAAACTCACTATGTAGCCTAAGTTTCGAACTCATCGGTAATCATCCTGTCTCATTCTCCCAATTTAAGGGATGACGAGCCTGAGCCCCACTAGATTTGGCTATAACCCAGGCTGCCACTAACTTGCTCTGAACCTGACCAGGCCTTAACTCTTTGATCCTCCTGCTTCTACTTCCCGAGTGATGGGATTGCAGGTGTGGGGCATCACACCTGTTCTAGACTTCCTGTGCCTTTTTGTTTTGTTTTAATAAAGACGAGTACACAGACACACACACACACACGTGTGTGTGTGTGTGTGTGTGTGTGTGTGTGTTTACGTGCACGCGCTTGCTCGCATCCGCTCGTGTAGGTCAGTGGACAGTTTGCGGGAGAACGCTCTTCCAAGTAATTCTTGCTTGAGCTTGGGTTGCAGTAGCTGCTTTAACCGCTGAGCCATCTGTTGGGTCACGTTCTTGTGTTTATTTTTGTTTTAAAGAAAGTAAGTTGTTAATATTTGGTTATAACTCTTGGGATTGGTGGGTGGATTACCTCCTTGGGTTGAGAATCAAAGTCAGGAAAGTGTGTTAACATGTGCAAGTAAGGACTGCCAGCCAGGAATGCTTTAGTTTCTAGACGGGAGGAGGCCTTAGCTGTTCCGGAGTTTTGGAAAATAGGAACCAAACCACAGTGGTTGCATACACCTCTTGGGAACAAACTTCCATGTACACTCTGGATTTAATGCAGGCAGATTTTTGCTTATGAATGTGTAACCCAAACAAAGCACTTAGTGACTGTTAAAAGAAAACATTTTAATTGTTTCCCTAGTGGCATTTTTCTTTTCTAATCTTAATTGCATTTGGAACCCACCTTTTGTTACTATTAAGTACTTCTGCCATTTTAATTCCTTTCCTTATCCAGTAGAAGGTGAAATACTCTATAGATTTGGGTTTGAGCCAAAACTTGACATACTGTATTTAGTTCATTTACTATAGATACTTGAAAAATTTTGACAATTTTGACAATCCTATGGAGGATTTTGGTAGAAAGTTGGTTTACATCATATTGCATTAGAAAAAGTGTTAGTGGGGCGTGGTGGCACAGGCCTGTAATCCCAGCATTTGGGGAGGCAGAGGCAGGCAGATTTCTGAAAGTTTGAGGCAGCCTGTTTGGCAAAGGGAGTCCAGGACAGCCAAGGCTACACAGAGCTAATAGCGGGTCTTGGGGAAAAAGAAATAGTAAATTTGGCAGGCAGTGGTGGTACACATGCCTTTAATCCCAGCATTTGAGGGAGAGGCAGGCAGATTTCCCGAGTTTGAGCCAGCCTGGTCTATAGTGAAAGCTCCAGGACAGTCAGGGCTACACAGAGAAATTGTGTCTTGAAAAACCAAGGGAAAAAAAAACAAACAGAAAAATGTTATTTATGAGGCTGAAAGCTTATTTCCCATTCCTTTCTTTTGTTGATTAAAAATACAAAATGACAAAGTGACTAATTTTGTCATCGTGACCTAAACCTTTAATAATATTTTTACTGACTTTAAAAAAATTATTTATTTTTATTTAATGTACATTGGTGTTTTGGCTGTATGTATGTCTGTGAGGATGTCAGATCCTCTGGAACAGGGTTATAGACAGTTGTGAGCTGCCATGTGGGTGCTGGGAATTGAAACTGGGTCCTCTGGAAGAGCAGCTAGTGCTCTTAACCACAGAGCCATCGCTCCAGCCCTTTTACTGACTTCTTAAATCCTATAATCAGAGCTTTCTTTGCTAAGTAACAAAAAGTATTTTTCCTTACTTATTACTTTTTGTTTGTTTGGTTGGTTTTGGTAGATATTAGTTAATTATTGTATTTCAGAATGAAAAATGAAGTTATTAAAGTTTCATAACTGACAAAGATATTATTCAAAGGTTTTATGTTTATAGGAATGCATTTATGTAATCCTTTGAGGTTATTTATCATAAATTTGGTATTTTACTTGTGTTTTACATTTTTAGGTAAAGTAGGATTGAAGCTAAATGGTCACTATCAAAAGGGTTTTTTAAAAAATTATTATTAAAAATCTACATTTAGATGGTGGAGCACACCTTTATTCCAGCATTTGGGAGGCCAGATGGTAGATCTCTGAGTTTGAGCCCAGCCTGGTCTACAAAGTGAGTGTAGGACAGCCATACAAACCCTGTCGTGAAAAAAGTGGTGCACATGTGTAATCCCAGCACTCTGGGAGGCAGAGGCCAGCCTGGTTTACAAGTCAAGTCCAGGACAGCCAGAGTTGCATAGAGAAACCCTGTCTCAAAAAAAAAAAAAAAAAAAAAATCAACTTGGTCATGAGTTCTTTTGCTTCCCACTTTGCCTTCATTCATTTGTTGATGGGTATCTTAAGTTGGGTTCTTTTCCTGGCTATTGTGAATAGCACAAGGTGTGCAAATAGCTCTGGTATGTAAATCAAAGGTTATAGGTTATGCATACTTAGGAGTGGGATGGCTGGGTCATAATTTCTTTTCAGTTTTTGAGGAATTCCATTGTGCCTACAGATGTCTACATTCCTATCAACAAATTTGAAATAGCTTTCTTCTCTCACATCCTTTCCATCATTTTTGTTGTTGTTGAGTCAGGGTCTCACTATGTTGATCTGGGTGGTCTGGAACTCACAGACATCTGCCTACCTCTACATCCACAGTGCTGGGATTAAAGGCCTTCTCCACCACCACTGTCCAGTTTATTTAATTTCTTTCGTTTATGGGTGTATGTCAGTGTTCCATATGTGTGAAGTGCCCCAGGAAGCTTGGACCCATGATTGTTAGCTGCCATGGGTTGCTGGGAATTGAACCCAGGTTCTTTGGAAGAAAAAAAAAAAAAACAAAAAGCAGAGCTTTTTAACCTTTGTGCTGTCTCTCCAGCTAGCTTTTCATTTATTTATTTATTTTTGCCCTTTTTGATTGGAGAGAAAGTCTCACAGCAGATTTAGTTTTCATTTTCCTGACTTTGTGTATTTTCTTTATTTAGGAAGGTTTGTTTGTTTGTTTGTTTTTGTTTGAGACAGGGCATCTTACAGTTCAGGCTAGGCTATCCTAGAAATCTTAGCCCAGGCTGGCCCTAAACTCGTGGCGATTCACTCTCTCTCCCTTTGTCTCTCTCTGTCCTTGTCTTCCCCTTTGGTTTTAGGAGACAAGGTAGCCTTGGCTGTCCTGAAACGCACTTTGTAGAACAGGCTGGCCTCTGTCTCCTGAATGCTGAGATTAAAGGCATGTACCACCACCGCCCAGCTAATTTTTCTTTCATTTGTTTTTTACCATTTGAAAATTGTGCTTATGGATATTTTGTCTAAATGTATGTATGTATGTATGTATGTATGTATGTATGTATGTATGTGTGTGTATGTATATATGTATATGTATATATGTATGTGCACCAACCACACATGCATGCTTGGTTCCTGCAGAGGTCAGACAAGTAGTTACAGAACTGCAGTTAGGGATGGGTGTGAGCCACCACATGGGTGCTGGGAACTACACCCAAGTACTATGCAAGAGTAACAAGTGTTAACTGCGGAGACTTCTCCCCACCCCCTTCATTTACTTCTTAAGATATGCTCTTGGTATATTACTGTGCTTAGTCATGGTTCTCCTGCCTCAGAGTCCTAAATGCTGGTATTACAGGTGTATATACAATCATGTCTGGCTCATCATTAGCCCTTTTGACTGTATACTTGTATTTACTTTGTAAAACCAGTAATGGAAAAAACATCAGGACCAAACATGCTACCACTTTCCCACTAGTACAGCAGTTCTCAACCTGTGAGGTCATGGCCCCTTCCAAAGTCAAATGACCCATAGGGGTAGCCTAAGACCATTGGAAAATACAGTTATTCCCATTATGATTCCTAACAGTTGCAAGATTACAGTTACGAAGTAGCCACCACAACACGAGGAATATATTAAAGCATGAGGAAGGTTGAGAACCACTGCACTAGGAGGTACAAGAAAACATGCAATTTTACTTCATATCATTAATTTTTAAAAGTACTAAAAATAATTAAATTAGATATACTTAACTTTTTTTTTTTATTCTTTTTATGTGCTCTTGTGGCATTGCTCATGTCTGCACATGAAAGTGAGAGAGGTAGAGTTAGTGGTCTTCCTCTCTCCCTTATTTATTTTTGAGACAGGGTTTTACTGTATAGTCCTGGAATTTGCTTAAACTTAAAATTCTTAAACTCACAGAGGTTGCTTCCTCTGTCTCCCTAGTGCT